TTAAAACAAACAAACAAAAAAGATGGCGTAGCTAAATCCTAAACAGTAATAATTACAATAAAGGTGAATTACTAAACTCATCACATAAATCACTGAAACTCCCAGGTTGGATTTTAAAATATCGAATAACGTACACTAAAAAGGCAATTAACTGTTAAATGTAAAGATTAAAAATAAAAGGTGTTGTATCTGCCAAGAAAGGCTACTTTGCTTTTTTTGTATTTATTTCTTTTAGCAACTACAATATGCTTTATTGTTCTTGGAAAGGGCTCAGGGTTTGGCTTTAAATCAGGCTGCACGCTTTTCATTAGTCTCACAGCTCTCTCCCCATGCCAGGCTGGCTCCAGCCCACAATGCTGCATTACATTCCAGGGAGACATTCAGGAGCTTCCAGAAGTCTCTCCTCCTCCTGACCTCCCTGCAGTCCAAGAATCCCCATGACCCCTGCTTAGGGTCCAGCCCTGGAACTCACCCACCTGACCCACCCTGGACCATCCTGGCACCAGGAACAGAAGCTGGATGCAGACACCCAACTCTGTGCCAGCACCTGTGCCACTGCGGACCTGGAGCCCAGGGTGTGACACACCCAGAGGAAACAGAGGGCCCCCACATGAGTCACCCTGGCTTTCAAGGCTGTCACAGCTCCAGTGGCCTTGCCCCACCCACTTGCAACTCCAGGCCATGGGGCTGGAAATACTTGGATCTTGGCTCCCTCTCAGACCCTAACCCTTCTTTTCTCCTCCACTTTCCTTCTGGCCCCCTTATCTTTTCCCATTTCCATTCCTGCTTTCAGACTCATTCCTTCTTTGCTTAAATGCAAGATTTTCGGCCAGGCATAGTGGCTCACAACTTTAATCCCAACACTTTGGGAGGCCAAGGCTGATGGGTCATGAGGTTAAGAGTTTGAGACCAGCCTGGCCAACATAGCGAAACCCCGTCTCTACTCAAAATAAAAATAAAAAACGTTAGCCAGTCGTGGTGGTAGGTGTTTGTAATCCTAGCTACTGAGAAGGCTGAGACAGAGGAATCACTTGAACCCGGGAGGCGGAGGTTGCAGTGAGCCAAGATTGCACCACTGCATACCAGCCCGGGCAACAGTACAAGATTCATCAAAAAAATTAATAATAATAAAAATTAAAAAATTTTAAAAAGGCAAGATTTTCCTCGCCATGGAACACTCTAGGCTCAATCAAATCATATGAAGACAGCTGTTTGCTGTCCATCATTACACTACATTTTCTAGAAGTTTCTATCCTGATGAAGCACCCCAGACTGGTTGAAAACCAAAGTTACTCTTCGTTGGAAAATGTTTGTGGACACCCAGGTGGGCATACAAATTTCCAAGTTGTGGCCGGAACCAGTGGCTCACTCCTGTAATCTCAGCACTTTGAGAGGCCGAGGCAGGTGGATCACCTGAGGCCAGAAGATCGAGACCAGCCTGGCCAACATGGTGAGACCCTGTCTCTACTAAAATTGCAAAAATTAGCTGGGCACGGTGGCAGGCGCCTATAATCCCAGCTACGCGGGAGGCGGAGGCAGGAGAATCGCTTGAACCCAGGAGCCGGAGGTTGCACTGAGCTGAGATCGTCCAACTGAACTCCAGGTTGAGCCACACAGCAAGATTTTGTCTTAAAAAAGAAAGGAAGGAAGGAAGGAAGGAAGGAAGGAAGGAAGGAAGGAAGGAAGGAAGGAAGGAAGGAAGGAAGGAAAAGAAGAAAAAAGAAACACCAACTAAAACAGGAAAAATGGGCAAAAAAATTTACCAACCTCAATGCAGCCACCTTCAGGCCCCTGGGGATTATTACGACCTCCGCTCCAGCTCCCCTCTGCACCTGTGCTGTTCCTCTGAGCCCCATTCACTTCCACAACTCTCCCATTCATTCTCTGGTTCACTCAGCCTCCAACCACCCTTAAATCATGTCAGGCTCACCAGGTGATGGAGAGAAAAATCATCCTCTGTGGGTCTGAAAAACACGCCTGAGTCCTGATGGTGGGTCTTGCCTTCATTTCCTCTCCCTCACAGCACACTCAGGGCCATGAAGAGGCCAGGGCCTGGGCTCAGAGCTCCGGCTCTCCTCAGGGTGGGCCTGGCATTTGCTGACTTCAAGGAGGGCAGCAGGGCTCACAACTAAAATAGGAGACCTGCCCTGGGTGCTTAGCATGTGCAAGGACAGGGTTCCTTGTAGAATCTGCTCATTTCATCTGTATTCATAGCATTTGTCATTTTCCACATGCCAACATCCATGCCCAGAAAGCTGAAGAACCTTGCACAGGAATATTCAGCCACAGTATCTGCTGACTTCCATGTCTGAATGCATGATCGCTAGATCCCTGCCATTACAGTCACTTCTGAGCCACTTCTATCCCCATTCTGGGCTGGTCTGAGTCTGGTGGCCAAATGCGGGCATCAGGGGTGAGGCAGGAGAGCCCAGGTGTGCACAGAGGCCCCTTTAAAAACCCTCCTGTTCTGCAGGGCAAGCTGCAGCCGCAGGAAGAGGATCCAGCATAAAAGAGCCCAGCGGGGAACTCAGCGGGGGCGATGTTTGCAGCGGGGCCCATGTTCGCAGCGGGGCTGATGTTTGCAGCGGGGCGATGTTCGCAGCCGGGAACTCAGCGGGGGCGATGTTTGCAGCGGGGAACTCAGTGGGGGCGATGTTCGGGCAGATGGAAACCCGCTGCAGTCCACAACCCCCGAGGTTTGGCCCCAGCCCCCGATTAGGCTCTCACCTGGCTGTCCTGCTCGAGGATCTCCTGCCAGCCTCCTTCTGCCTTCCTCCTGTTTCCCCAGTCACTGACCCAGGTCACCCAGCCTCGGGGTGGTGCTGCCAGGGTCTTCCCAGTGGCCTCCTCCCAGGACTAACCCGGGTTGCTTGTCCCCAGCCCTATGCATGGGAGGCTCTTTTCACACACAGATGCCCAGACCCACCAAGCTATGCCCCTCCCAAGTCTGAGAACAGCTCACCGCTCTGTGTCTGTTGTCTGGTAGACCACTCTCCATGTGGCCCCTCCTGGACAGTGGCTCTAGTGCATCAGGCCAGAACCTTCTAGGCTCCTGTGTCCCTGCTCAGTCACAGAGGTAGCTGCCCTCCCATGACCGTGTCCTGAAAGCAGAGACAGGCCCTGGGCTTGGTCCAGGCCTCCTCCTCTTTTCCACAGCTTCAGGACCCTAGGTCACCAGGTGCAGGTTCTCCCCACATGAAGACTCATTCAATGGGGAAGGGGGCTGAGTGGCTGGGGGCAGAGTGGGCTCAGGAGCTCTGCTCACTGTCACCCCAGGCTAAGCCCTCCCTTGCAGCCAGGGGCCACTGGGCTCCTCACCTTCCTCTGGCTTCTGTCCATAGATCTAAATGGTTCCATGGTGACTGAGATGAGGATACACTCGGGATGCCCCTTTGAGGATGGCTGCAGGGACCATCCAGGGACTGAGCAGAGGTGCGGATGCAGCCACAGATTTGGGTGTGGTTGGACACAGATGGGTGTGCAGCAAAGTGAGCTCCACCCATGCGCGTAGACCCCACCCTCGGCTTCTGCTGTCCATGGAAACACAATTAATCACATGATGATTGATCACGGTAGGCCACTAGGCCTTTCTTTTCTTTTTTTCCCAAAAGTCATAAAGGGATATAGAATACACTCAAAGACCTCCTTATGCTTTTAGTGGAGAGGCAAAGAAGGTCTGCTGCGAACTGGGGAAGCGGCTGCGCCCCGGACGGGGGCGTGGGGGAGCTCCGCGACGCACGCAGAGGGAGGGCGGGTGTCGCTGGCGCAGGTGGTGACTGGGCACACCGCCGCCACGCAATATTCCTGTTAAGTTTCTTCACCTTCCTGTGCATAAGTGTTTACACTGGGGTAATGATAAATGCTGTGCTGAAAAATTAAATGAGGCGGTCATGGAAGGAGCCGTGTCCTGCCCCGCGCGGGGCACGGGGACGCAGCCACCAAGCCGCGGGGGCGGGGTGGAGGGGGAGGGTTTGCCCGCCTGGGCCGCTGTCAGGTGACGACCCCGGGGCGGGGCGGGGTGGAGCACCCCCAAACAAGGGCAGTAGTCGGATCACGACCCTTGGATCGCAGCCTGGGGCGGGGCGGAGCAGTTCAATTCACCAGCCTGAGTGGGAGGCACCAGGCGATTCCTCCGCCCATATCCGCCTGGACCCTAACTACAGTCCCCTGCGCCCCAGGTCCCCAATGGCAGTGGTTGCCTGCCCCGCCTTCCTTCCGTGCTTCCCGCTTCTGCTGCTGCAGTCCGGCTGGTCCGGGTCAGGGCAGGACGGTGAGTTCCGGGATGGAGCCTAGTCCGGGGCTGGGGCCAAACCTCGGGGGCTGTGGACTGCAGCGGGTTTCGATCTCCCCGAACATCGCCCCCGCTGAGTTCCCCGCTGCGGCTCCTTTACGCTGAGTCCGCATCCTGCGGCTGCAGCTTGCACTGCAGACCAGGAGGGTTTTTAAAGAGGGCGGAAAAGGAACCACAGGAGGGTGGAGGGGCCAAAGGGCCGCAGAAGACAAGGTGGAGCGGGGATCCCTGGTGCAGCTCCGCAGCCCCACTCGCCCTCGGGAAGGAGAAACCAGAGCTCCCGAGACCCTAGCTGGGATCAGGACAGGGGTGAAGGGGATTCCACAGGAACGCGATCACAGACTCCCCCACCAGCCGCAGGCCTGCTCTGCTCTCATCCGCTCTCCACCACAAAAACCCTCCAGCACCCCCAGGGCTCCGCCCTGGAACTTCTCCTGCGCTTTGCTGCAGGCACTCACCTCCACCCAAGAGGCTCATCAGACACTTCCCACCATTCACCACTTCTTCACCATTCACTTCCACTACCCAGGTCGCATCCTTTCACTCCCCATCTCAGCCAGCCCCGTCACCACACAGGCCTCCCTCACCTCCCCATCCATGAAGGGGTCCTTAGCACCTCCACCAGCAACTAGCACCTTCTCCCCTTTTGCCTGAGGATACACCCCAGCAAACGCACCTCACGCTTTCCACAGAACTTAGTGCAGGGGGGATGGGAAGGACCATTTCCCCCAGGATGACCCTGGGAGCGCCCGTGAGTAGAGGCACCCACTACTTCCCTTGGGACCCAGACCCGCCTGTTCTTCCTACTGGGGAGCCAGGGTCATATGGAATAGTCACTACACAGACAGGAGTCAGCAAACCCTTTCTAGAAAGGAAAGGCTGAAGGCACTTTGGTCCTTGCTGGCCATGGGTTCTCTGTGTGTCAAGTCCTGTCCCTTTGTAGAGCAACAGCAGGCAACGGCAACCTGCAAATAAAAGGGAGAGCACATCTGAACACCATCCTAGGTTGCTGACCCCAGATGAGGGCACATGCTGTGTCCTGGCAATTGGTTCCCCATCCCCTAGGGTGTCATCTCCAAGTGGTGTAAGTTGAAGAGTCACAGGTGTGTCCGACCCTGCCTGTGGCTTCTGGGTGGTGTGGATGTGATGGATATGAATGGAGGTTCTATGGTTCGGGGCCAATGCTCCCCTCCTTTGCTGCTGAGTAGCATCATTGGTCCCTTGGGGCGATCAGGGACCCTCCCTGAAGCCTCAGGTGTGAGCTGAGGGTGAGGGGTGCACCCACATGTTGTCCGGGGGATCGGGGCCAACTGCTTGTGCAGCTTCTTGGTTCCCTGTGGCCCTGCTCCGGCCCATCCCAGGAGACCCACCTGCGTCTTCTCACTGCTGGGCCTATCTTCCTAATGACCTAAAGGGTGAGGAGCACACCGTGTGATGGGCAGCTCTGAGGCTGTGTGGTCACTGCCCTCCCATAGCTGGAGGCCCATCTCCACCAGGGCCCAGGACCACACCTGGAGCCTCTTTTAAATGAGGGGATTTTGCTGTTGTGAGTGGCACAGCCTTGCTTCTGAGCACTAGGGGACCCTGATGTGATTCTGCGGTTGGCAATTGCCATGAAATCCACATAGCACCTTTTCCAACCACACATGCTTCTGGGATCTTAGAGACTCCAGGGTCAAATAGCCATATAAGTAGGTCCAGTCCCTCATCACAGAGTGTGTATTGTTGCATCCCAGCTACAAGAGCAGAGCTGACAGGGAAGGTCATATGACCAGAACAACCTATAATAGTTACTACATTAACTACAAACACTAACCATTCCCGGTACGAATCCAGGAAATATGAAAATACCATCAAATGGGTCTATGAACCCAGCATATCCCCCTAAGCTGGACGTGACACAGGTGTCCATCCTTTACTTTGCCCCAAATGCACCTCATGAGTATCAGGGGAGCAAGTTAATGCTTCAGATCTCTGGAAGGAGGACACACACTGTGTCCACCAGGAGTGTCTGGGTATTTGCTGTTTCATGGTGTACACTTACCAGAGTGAATGCCTATCTGGCTCTGTGGGGGAGTCTGAAGGAGTCATTGCAGTTGCTGTGGGGTTGAAGGGGCCCACCAGGGCCTCTGGACTCTCCTTCTAGTAATGGACTCTGGGTCTGAGGTGTGGCTCAGTTCTCAAAGCTGGGCAAAGGAGCTCGATTATTTCCTGGGGTGACTCATTTCAGCATCCAGGTCATCCATCCTTGTGTTTTGTCTTTATTTGTTGTAATTATTTAAATCTAGCAGTATTCAGGTTGAGTTTCCATCTCTTTTGGATCCTTGACCCCTTTGTTCTATAAGCCATGGGCACACCTTCCTATGGCTGAGGTCCCCAGCTGCCATTGTGACTTCTCTAATTGCTTCCATCATTGCACCCTCCTTCCTCCTGATAGTTGACAGCCTCCACTTGAGATCTGTTATTTCAGGATTTTCCACCCCCGTTACTACTGGGAGCCCATTTCAGGGACAGCATTTCCTACCCCTGACCCCGGCCTTCAGCAACAAGCATCCCTGAGCTTCTTGACAGTCTGCTGCCTTCTCCTGGGGCCTTCTTTATATGCTGGGTAAACAGGAGTCCTCCAGGCTTCCCATGAGCACAGAGAGTGGACATTGTTCTGGATTTTCACACTGCAGCCACTCTGGCATGGACGCTTCTCTGAGCCTTTTTGCTCTTTCCTCTACACCCTGACTTAGAAGTTCTGGATTTTCCACTTCTTGCCCTGTGAACCATCCCTTTCCAAGGTTCCAGGAATGCATCCTCAAAGCAGATGGGTGTCATTGCCGGGGCTTTGCCAACATATTAAACCATGTGACCCGTGACATTAATCACTTGTGTATCTAAACTGAATTCTGCCCTCACCGCCCTCCCCCCGCCCCCGCCGCCCCCACTGTGCTGGAGCATGCCAGGGCAGCTCCCACACCCTCTCCCATCTCCTGCGGTCCACATGGGCTGCTGCTGAGGGTCCTCCTCATCCAGGCCTTTTCCTGCCACAACAGGCCTGGCACCTCCCCAACAAGATCATGTGCTGACTGATGTTGGCACAGGGCAGGTGGGACATGTCTGGAGGGGACATGTGGTTTCATGGCTGCAGGAAATTTCTCCTCCATATACTCAAGAAACGGAGACGCTCCAGTCTTTAACTAGTTGACATGACAGCCCTGACTGGGGCACATCTTGCTCTACCAGCCCAGCCCCTCAGAGGCCTTCACTTGCAGTCACCATAAGGGGGAGGAGGGGTCTCAGGTTCCACTTCCCTCCACACCAATCCTCTCCTGTGTTTTGCTTCCACAGACACACACTGTCTTTGCTATGACTTCAACATCACTCTTAAGTTCAGACCTGAACCACGATGGTGTGAAGTTCAAGGCCTGGTGGATGAAAGGCCTTTTCTTCACTATGACTGTGTTAACCACAAGGCCAAAGCCTCTGCTTCTCTGGGGAAGAAAGTCAATGTCACAAAAACCTGGGAAAAACAAACTGAAACACTAGGAGACGTGGTGGATTTCCTCAAAGGGCAACTGCCTGACATTCAAGTGGAGAATTTAATGCCTATTGGTAAGTTTCAGATAGTCCAGGACAGCAGGGAACAGACATAGTAGTAACTTAGAGGCATTTATTGGTTTCATGTAACAAGTAAATCAGAAGTTTGTGTCACACAAGAGGCTGAGAAGCATGGGCAGGATGCAGCAGAGAGAGCAAGTCCAGGAGCCAGGAAAGGAAGCAGGGTGGGGCTCAGAATTTGTCAAGATCAGAGCTGATCTCTTTCCAACGGGGCAGAGCCCCTTATTCTGCAGGCCCGGATGTCTTGTGAGCACGAAGCCCATGGACATGGCAGAGGATCTTGGCAGTTCCTCTTCAATGGACAGACTTTCCTCCTCTTTGACTCAAACAACAGAAAGTGGGCAGTGCTTTATCCTGGAGCCAAGAAGATGAAAGATAAGTGGGAGAAGAACACGGAGGTGACCGTGTTCTTCCACAAGATTTCAATGGGGGATTGTAAGACATGGCTTGAAGAATTTTTGATATACTGGGAAAAAATGCTGGATCCAACAAGTAAGTGAGAGGCGAAAAAAGGAAGCTCTCTTGAGTTCAGATCTTAGCCCGGTGTGTGTGTGTGAGTGCATGTGTGTGTGTGTGTTTGAGTGAGTGTGAACATGACCCCCTCATTGGGGACTCCTTTTGGGGGTGCTGGTGTGCCTGTGCTCTCTCATCCTCCTCTCCCTTCTTCCTCCTGACTCCTCTTCCTCCCTGCACCTGCCTGTGCTCCACCCACTGTGCGTTTCTCACCAGCCTCGAATCTGTGGGTATCATAGTGTTTCTAGACCTTTTTCGTTAGTGTTCCTTCCTCCTAGAATCACTTTTCCTTTCCTCTCCCTTCTTCAGTTTCTGTACATCCATCGAAACTACCTCAAAGGCCAGCCCCAAGACCCTCCCCTCCCTGGCCCTGGGGCATGACCTCCTCTTCCGCCAGAGCAGGAGGATGGGCTGTGCTATCACCTTGCTTCCCTCAGCAGCTGTGTGAGCTCCCTGAGGACAGGGACACCCTCTCTCTTCCTATCCCAGAAACTGTCACAGCAGCTTCCCCACAGCAGAGGGGGACAAAAGCTCTTCCAGGATGAGCTGGAGGGGCAGGAGCTGAAGAGGCATCCCCTAAGATTTGGGGCCTGGACAAGGGTTGTCACTCCTGTGTTTCCATTTCAGAACCACACTCTTGGGCCCTAGGCACAACCCAACCCAAAACCATGGCCACCACCCTCAGTCCCTGGAGCCTCCTCCTCATCATCCTCTGTTTTATCCTCCCTGGCATCTGAAGAGAGTCCTTCAGAGTGACAGGTACTGTGGGCAATATTGGGAGGGGAGCAAGGAGCAGGTGGATGAGGTGGAAGGATGCAGAAGGAGAATACCCAGAGTCCCACATCTCCCCATGGCAGGAACCTTCTCATCCTGACATGAGACAAATGAATGAGACCTAGTGTCACCTATTGGCAATGACCTGGGTAGCTCAGCCCTGAGTTCTGATGGATTCTCACTGTCAGAACCAGAGAGAAAGGGAGGGGCCCATACCAAGGCTCAAGCCCTGTTGAGCTTGAGAGGATTTAGCCAATTCAGGCCTGTTTCAGAGCAGGTTCCTATTCAGGAAGGGTAGTGGTGTGTGGCCTGCAGGCAGTAGGAACTCAGGCATGGGCAGTCCACACAGTAGGAGAGGAGCAGCATGGCTGCTTCACCTAGGATGTCAAGGGAAAGGGTGTCCCTGGAGAAGGCTAAGAGGAGAGTGATCTGGGAGAATCCCCAGACAAGGGGGCTGAGAGGACCTTGGCCCAACCAGTTCCTAAGGCTGCATTCCCAGAGAAAACAGCTTGGGTCCCAGCAGTTAAGGCGGAAGGTGAAGAGTAGAGCATGTCCAGGGTGAGGTTTAGGAAAAGGCCAGGCCCCTTGGACCCATGGGATTCGTGGCTTGGCCCTAGGGTGATGCCCCTGCCATTCTGCCTCCTGCACACTCCCGATCCTGAGCCAGCTGATGGCCCTGCCTAGAGCAGAGTGGACTCAGACAGGGAGGCTGAGCTGCTGCTAGAGGTCCATGGTTGCTACTGAGCTTGGCTGGGAATGAACAGGGCAGGGCAGGGGCAGTCCCATTCAGAGCTAAGGGTGCAGCTCTCAGGGTGAGGAGAGGCTGAGAGCGAAGGGGAAAGAAGGAGGTTTGCCTGCAAGCCCACCCAAGGCCAGGGAACATGGATCCAGAGACCTCTCTTTGGACAGGGCTCCCCCAGGTCCTTAGATCCTTCTATGAGAGGGAGGAGCAGTCCCTGAGTGAAGGTGCAGACCCCTCATTACCAGCCTCGGTTCTGAGCCCCCATGTGCTGTAGCAGGGCCTGGGCTGGCTCTGTGGTGTGGTGAAGGAGGGTGGAGGTTGGGACAGGCTGCACAGCCAGGGTAGCATTGGAGGGAAAAACATAAAACATGTTCCTTATTTGGGGAAGAGGCTCCGAAATGGGGAGGGCCTGGAAGGGATCACCCAGGAGAACAGACCCAGTTTTTTTTCAGCCACTTAAACCAACGCTTCATCTTTTCTGAAGGTGGAAGATGATATCAAGAAGCCTCTGTTAGCCTGTTCTGGTTCCTGCTCTCCCTTCAGGGAGGCCACCTGTCTACTCACCACTTTGCCTTTCTGGAAAGCAGGAGTTCAAGCCTTAGCAAGCCCACCGGCCCCCAGCACATGATGAGGACATTGTAGACTCAACATCTCATGCCACTCATTACCTTTACTGATGATCCTAGCAGCCATTTTTCTTAACATCTTCTGCCACTTTCTCTCAGTGCTAACGGATGGAATTCCTGCACAAGTTTTAACTGAACAAGAAATCCTAGCAAAAAAGCATTTTCTTTCTACTTCTTTGATTGTAGAAAAGCAGACACTTCTCTGAAGCATGACCTTATTCTTCCAAACAGTATCACTAGTAAAATAGCATGCTGGACTTCAAAGCTCAGGGATCATTTTGATGCAGTGACCAAGAATTGCATTAATTTTTTGTCGTCGTTTTTATGGTTTTTTACAGTTTCTCATTCTGTCAACCATACTGGAGTGAAGTGGCAGGGTCTTTACTCACTGTAATCTCCAGCTCCTGGGCTCAAGTGATCCTCTAGACTCAGCCTCTAGAATAGCTGGGGCTACAGGCGCATGCCACCAGGCCTGGCAAAATGTTTTAGTTTTAGGAAGAGTGGGTCTTCCTATGCTGCTCAGGCTGGTCTTCAACTGCTGGCCTCAAGCAGTCTTCCCACCTTGGCCTACTAGTGCTCTGGGATTACAGGCATGAACCACAGTGCCTGTTGTAGAAATTTTTAAGTATTTAATATGGAAAAGTATTACCTTCATTATTATTTTATTTAGTAAGACAGCAGATCTAATCTCAGAATAGCTGCTTAGCCTTTTCTCTGACTCACCTCCTGCCAGCTCTGGCATTCAAGTGAGGGTCAAAGCCTGTGAACCTGAATGACCCCAGCTCCCGTTTTGGGCTGAGCTGCTTCAGGCTGTAGAGGGGCCTGGGAGTTGCCTGCAGGATAGGTGAAGGGAGGAGAAGCTGCCTAAAGCAGAAAACAGAGGGTGAGAGGGAAACACCTGGAGGCCCTGGCTTTGCAGGAGAAGAAGGAACCATAGTGGATTTATTGAGGGATTTATCTCTTTACATCAGTTTCCGAAAAGAATGTTTTTCTTAAGTTCCCATTATCAACTAGTAAAACAGAACAAAGCAAAACCAATGTGAAACAAGCAAGAATTGCAAAGCATTTGCAAGCAGAATCCAGAGAACTTCTCTGCCTATGCCACTTGAGAGCTAGCCGCCACGCTGATGCTCCATCTTTAATGACACCACCTCATGCCCCATACTTTAGTGTTCTTCCTACAAACCACGACACTCTCCTAATAAGCACAATACAATCACCAAAACAGATTCTGCATCCCTACATTACATCCATCTCATGCTCAGACACCACCCAAGATTCACCAGTTGTTTTGATTATCTGTTTTACAGACAAGGATCTGATGGATTTAGGTATTTCCTACCTCATTATTTAGCTGAAAATATAAATCATGATGTTTTATTTGCCCCACTATTTGATCTCTATATTTTTGGAAATAGGTGGAGAGATTTGGATTGATGTGGTGCTTCTTATTGTGTTTCACTCAGAAGTCCTCATTAATATATTTGAAAGATTTAACATCTTTTTATCCAGCATTTGGGTTGCGTAATTTTTTGCTAGTTCAGATGTTCTAGTCTGACATAGAAACAGAAATCTAACACCAACATGAGAAAACACGCTGTACTGTAGTGGAATATTTTATTGCTAACTTTTTCTTATGAAAGCAACAGCAAAGTAAACAACCAAATATCTCCATGCTTTCTAGAACGTGCTTGGAGCCTGGAACTGACTGGGATTGCTGGTTAGTGGGATGAGCACAGCATCCACTGTCATGAATATCACCTGAATTGATGTCAAAGGAACAATTCAATATAGACTCCTACCCACAATGGGGGAGGTCTCTGATGCTCCACTTCCTGCCCACCACCTGGTGTAGACAGATTTAAACATTTGTCAGTAGAATGGGTGTGTGAGGGCATTCCATTGTTCTTTATGTGTATTATCTTGATTATGTAGGACATGTCAACTCTTTCACGGGTTTCCTCAGAATCTCTGAACTGCTCATAGCATTTGCCCAATCTTAGGACAATTATGTGTATTTTTATTTATTTGTAGTTCTTTATACATTACAAATCTGATCTTTTCTCCATAGGGGAATAAAATAACTTTTAAAAATAGAGATTAATCTGATGTGGGGATTACTTCTAAAGAAGTAGGTGTGTTCAGGGCTGAGGAATGACAAGGAACGTCACTGCCCAGGGTGTAGTGTGCTGGGGCCAAACCAGAAAAGTTATGTTTTTTAAGAACAGGAACATTGGTGTCTGTCCAGGGTATCAGGACAATGTTCAAGGCTGACAGAGAACCTGTAATTTAGAAGTATCATTAAGTTCTCTGCTTCCCAAATAGTCTAGCGGAATCCCTAGTTTATTAACCCATAACATGAAGGAAGAATAAAATCCCATTAATTCTCTACTGGATTATAACGCAAATTTGAAGGTCAATAAGCCTTTTAGAAAATAAATATTTTTATTTAAATATCAGTAAGAGATAAATTACTAAAGGAAAGAATCATGCCTATATATATTTTCTTATGAAAAATTAGAAAATTCTGATTCAGGACATGAAAAGAATTCCTGGTGTTCTGAAGTCAGCCATGATATTTCAGTGGCAATGCTTTAGAAGAACAAAATCATGGTTTAGAGAAGCATCTTTTTTTCCACAACCAAAGCAGAAAACAGAAAATGCTCTTTTTGTGGAGATTTCTTCTTCAGTAAGTTAAAACATTAAATGCAGGAATTCTTCCATCAGGTAGCATGAGAGAAAATGGGAAAGTATTTTAAGAAATTTCAGTGATAGGATTATTACCAAAGGAATTAAGGCTCATGAGTCTTATGGGGTCATCCTGATCTACTGGAGGCCTCTGGATTTGCTAAGGCTTGAATTCCTGGTGGCCCAGAAATGAAGAGTGCATGATGGACAGGCTGCCAGCCAGAAGGGAGAGTTTGACATGCACCCGTAATCCCAGCTACTCTGGAGGCTGACGCAGGAGAATCACTTGAACCTGGAAGGCAAAGGTGGCAGTGAGCCAAGATCATGCCATTGCATTCCAGCCTGGGCAGCAGAGTGAGACTCCATCTCAAATAATAATAATAAAAGAAAAAGGCAAAAATTCAGACAACTAAAGAGAAAATGGGCAAAAGAGTTGAACCAGCCCTTCACAGGAGAGGAAATATGAAAGAATGGCCAATAAAAACATGAAGAGGGTCTCAGCCTAACAGGATGAGGTATCACATGAC